TTTCCGCACCGTGTGATTTCACCCTAAGCTCCTTAAGGTTTGTTCGCGTCGCACGCTCCAATCTGCTCCTGTTCATTCCAACGCGCTCCAATACGTTCGCGTCACCGGAACCAATATGGCGACTAGATGTTCGCGTCGCGTTAGAGTATACTCCATGGATCAATTAAGAGCACGCTCCATTTGCCTCACCTCAGAAGGTGGTGCGGTTGGGGCATGTTACGCACGCATGCGTAATGATTGAGAATGTGTAGTGTTGAGAGAAGTATTTCATGGTTGTTACAGATATCTTAACCTATGTTCTGTAATCTTAACCTGAATAGTCAACTTTAGTGATTAATTTCGGATTTCTGCACACAGGATCATAGTGGAACTCTTCATGTAGTATAGAACGACAGGACGCTTGTCCCAACTTGTCCTAAATCCGTTCGTGTCATCGAGTGTTGGAGCACATGAATCCAACTGCTCCAATCGCCATCTTACCGGTGATCCACGGTGATCCAAGTGCTCTCTGAGTTAATTTGGAGCAAGCGACGCGAACAAACCTCTAGTCTTCTTGACAATAGCGACCGTCGGTCGCGCAAGCGATAATCGTCGATAGCTATCGATAACGATTCTCGTCGTTAGGAATATAGTACTTAGGAATAGAGTACTTAGCATGAGAGTTGATTTTGTTGCAAGAAAGGATACGCATGATGGAACGGCGTATAGAGAGAAGGCAGCTGAGAGATATAGAGAGAAGGCAGCTCAGAACCCTTTTTATCTCCCACGAGTTGAATTTGTTAATTATTTTCGTCTTACTCCAGAACTTGTTATGGATGTAATAAATGCAATACGAGCTAATTTATGGAGCGAACGACTTACCGGTTTAGCGCCTGAAATAAAGGTAATGTTAGTGCAAAATCATTGTAATGTTTCGTATTGACTTGATATTATTTACTTACTTTTTCATGACAATAAAAATGAACGTTTTCATTGAACATCACTTCAATTTATGTATATGTAACTAAACTTACTAAATATCTATTGAAAATCATACTGAGAAAGCAGAATAGTTTAGACAAAACAAACATTTAAAATGTAATTTCGTCGTCAAATTTATTAAAGTGAAATGGATATTACAGGTGTTGATCGCTATACAATTTTACGCTCAAGGTAGCTACCAAAGAAATGTCGGTAATCAATTTCAGTTTAATGTTAGACGACAACAAGCCGTTGCATCCATGCTGTGACTGATGCAATCAATGAGCACTTATTGCGTACATGGGTGAAATTCCCAATGACCGACGAGGATCGACAGCAAGCACGTGAAAAGTTTTCAGTTGCTGCACAGCCATTTGAGGGTGCCATGGGGGGGGGGTGCTATAGATTGCACTTTTATACATATTTTAGCCCCTTGTGAACATGAAGAGGCCTTTGTTAACCATCTCATGGTAACCATTCCTTGAACGTACAAGCTGTAAGTATAAATGCTCTTATTATGTCTACTATTATATACTGTGACTTTTTTGTCGTAAAACTTTCGATTGTATGTATTTATGCTTTTAGATTGTTGATCCAAATATGAAAGTGCTTAATATTAATCCGAGATATCCAGGTGCAAGAAACGACGCATACATTTGGAGTATGTCCCCGATTTGTCGTGCTGCGGAATTTCATTACAACAGAGGAGAACGGAGAACTTGGTTAATCGGTCGGTATCGTGGAATAAAAACACTTGCACCTTAAAATATTTTGTAAAATAAGTTAAAATATTAATATGTTTTACCAGGTGATGCTGGATATCCGTTGGAACCATGGCTCATGACGCCCTTAGTCGGTTTTCCCGAAGATACCCGACAGTTTCAGTATACGGAGCAGCTTTGCAAAGCAAGAAGCATTGTTGAACGTTTCTTTGGTGTTTTTAAAGCAATATGGAGATGCCTTTCCTATCAACGTGTGTTGATGTACGAACCAGCATTTGCTGCCAGAATAGTAAATGCATGTGCAGTCCTTCATAATATGAGAATTCAACACCGCTTACCTTTAGAGGAATTTGAAGAACCGGTAGCTGCTTATCATCATGAAAATGCTGACCCCATGAACGTCAATGAAGCTGTAGTTCAAAGAGGGCCACGCGCTGTAGCTCAGAGAATTCAGCGACAAATTATGCGAGAGAGATTTCCCAATTTCCGTGATGCAGAAGGTGAAGAATGATGAAGATAAAATCATGTATATGTGTGTGGGTGTATATATAAATGATAAGAATAATGTTATATTTCCTTTATTATAATTATTTTATACTATAATTTTTTTACTATCTTGTCAAAATTATATGCTTCAAGTGTGTTACTTAAATAAAGTAGTCAAGTATACAAACATTTAAGTTTTATTTAATAAATAAATGTTTTTTTTAAATAATAACAGTAAGTTTAATATTGATATTAACATTTTGTTGTCGGTAACATACAAATAAAACATTGGGCAATATATAATATACTAAACAAATAATACTTTTGGTAGCTAGGAATATAATAACTAATACTTCAGATATAGAGACCTAGTTTACATCATACACTTGATACAGACACATACCAAATAATAATTTCCTATTACCCTATCTTCAGTTTGGCAATGCTTTTAAAAAACTCTATATAAAGATAATATAATATACATCAAGATGATGAATTAAATACATATATTGTATATACGTTTACACATCGCCAAATTTAAGATAATTTAATAGGAAATTGCCAGTTAGTATTATGTGCATGAAGTAAATTATTTCATTGCTATAAAAATAAGGAGGTTCCTGAGAGTACGTACAATAAATATTTCTGGCAATGTTATATATCGAAATAAAAAACTTAATTTGCGAAATAATTAAAAAAATATCATAAAGTAAAACAAACTTCATTTTCATAAAAAAATAGTACGTACAAAATGAAAAATATTATCAGTACTTATAGTACTGTTATAGATAAAACAGCTTTAGCATATTTTATAACATTTTTGAAGTCGAAAAAAAATATCACATAATACTTCATTTATTTTCCTTTCATAGCTTTAACACAGTCTTTTATAATCTGAGTCAAGTCCAGATAAGTTTTTTCTCGAGCCTTTTCATGTTCTATTAAAGAATGCAGAATAGCGTTTCGTTCTTTATCATTATCAGCTATTTTTTCCATTGCTTTGGCGAATATCTGTACAAAATAAAAAAAGAATATGTTCAAAACATTAAACTTGCTATAATAATGCGTTTTTTTAATTCAAAAATATTTTATTTTTCGAGAAGTACATTATAAAAGCTGTTACCTCCATACACGTAATTTGACGCTCGGCTAGTGTGGCAAAATCTTCCCTTGCGTTCATCAACTGCGTACCTAACTTTGCATCTTAAAAATAAATGAAGTAATGTTTACTACTTGTATGTTGTAAAAGACTCGGAATAATCCAAACATTAGGGAACAGAATAAGAATTTCAACCTATCAACTGTGTATTCCATAGTACATACTTTCTGATAAGTTAAAATTCTTATTCTCTGTTCCTTTTATTGTGCTCTTCTTTACAAGAAAATGGATATCTACTATGATACTCACTTTGCCTTGGGTGTCCAGCAGATTTTTGTATTCTGTTAAAAGTCTGCGAAACTGTTGCGTGTGGTTTTCTTGCCTGAGAAGTTTCTGCTTGCTTTTCTCTCATTTGTAATTCTTCCATCGGTGATTCCCTTACCTCTGTTTCCAAATGTAATATCTGAGGAGTTGGTTCAAAGATATTACTTTCGCTTCCTTCTATTTCTGGTACTTCAGAATCTAAAATAAAACAATATAAACAATGCTGCTAATTAATTTTGTTTTAAGAGTAATACTTTGATGTAATTCGTGATCTATGCAGTATACAAGTTAAGTAAAATATACTAACCAATTAAATTGATCGTGTTGCTATCAGATCGTATTGTGATTGTAATAGGAGCGGTTTCTAAAATGTTTTCTTGCCCTTGATGAAGCAACTCTATAGCATTTGACTGAAATAAATCAAATATTTTACCATCTAATCAATATTATTTTCAAGTATCTTACAATTTAAAAAAGAATTAAAATAAATAATGGATGAAGGGCTACGAGCCAAATCAGATGTTTATAGCTAAATACCAATAATTGATCCCAATATAAACATTCAAAAAATGCAAACGTTTTAATTTCAATGACCCTATTGGGTCATTCTTATTGTGAATATATTAAGAAAAACTGTATCTAATATTAAACATGAGTTCGGTAAGAGTTGTATAATTAATATATGATAAAAAGAATTTGCTCATATAATTTTCGTTCGAAATTCATGTAAGTGGTGATCACATAGTCATTAACTATAAATCAATCACTGATATAAATTACGAGCAAAAATTGTAAGAGTGAATTAATTCTTTTTATCATGTACTAGTTATACAATTATAACCGTTCAACTCATGTTTAACATTAAGTACTGGTTTTTTAAAAATGTAATTGTATTTACATTGAGAATGACTCAATAGAAACTTCATGTTTTTTAAATGTTTAAAGATTTAATTAATATTTAGCAATAAGCATCTCGCTTGGCTCACAGCCCTATATATTATTTAATTTTCATTAAAAATTATTTGAGCCCATCGTCTAAATTATCAAAAAAAGAATTGTTTGACTGCTTCAAACGTTAAATAGTTTCTGACTAAGCGCTGATTAGTACATTGATTTCCATTATTATTCTATATTACTAAGATTATTAGTGTTTCGGTATATAATAAATTGTTATTACCTGTTCTTCTGGAAAAGCATCAGGACATTGTACTCCTTCGACATAATCGAACCCTATAATTCCTAAAATCTTTTGTTCTCGCTCAGCTAACTTCAAAGGACAACCAGTATTTCCTGTTGCAGTTTGATTAGCCCGATTTTTTGCTACTTTTTGAGAGACCGCAGTTTTGTTGTCTTGCCACGTCTAAAAGAAACTTTAAGATTATTTCTGAAATATATAGCGGTAGTACTTCAAGTACTATATGCCGTTGTAGTTCCAACATTTCGTTTTTCTCACCGCTTTCCATGACTTTACATCTTTGGTTTTTCCATCTTTTGCCATACTATTAAGATCTTACACTAAGTGTTCCCAAGATCCTCTCAAATCTGCATTTCCATGGAGACTGTTAAATTTCCCTGTCGCAACATGTGGATATCGGACAAAATAATCGACCATGTAATCAATTTGGGCTGATGTTGCTTTCGCCTGTCTTTTTGCCTTTCCCTTTCTGAAAAAATAAAATACTCATAGTAAGCAAATATGTATGAATTGTAAATAGAAGTAAACAAACAAACATAACCTTTATAATGTCATTAGCAACTTATTTTTAGCATTAGGTTTAGCATTATGTATTTTACTAAACCCTTTTATGAAAATCTTGCATATATACTTACTCCATATTTCAATCTGCTCTTCTTCTTCTCTGTTATTGGCCTCGCAGCCAAACGACTGAACTTGAATACTGATGGTCTTCGAAATTGGGGGTTTGCAGATTATAAGGCTCGATTGTTCCACCTTTCGGTAAATTTTACCTGTTAGATAAGTAGCAATATTACCCAATCACATGCGCGGATTGCTAGATTTACCTAACAGGTAAAATTCATCGAAAGATGAAACAACCGGGCTTAAATGAAGCACTGGGCCGCTATTCCGTTCCCGCGTACCGACAACCGTCGGATCGGTACAGGAACGATATCTATCGGTTGCACAACCGACAACGGTACACCTCAGCTATTCTGTATATTGCACGTAACATCTATCGTTGCAAGCGACAATGGGTGCGTTCAGCAGAACGTTTGTTTTGCAACTGTTGGAAGTTTCCTTCGCGCTGATTGGATCATACTTTTAGATCTAGAAGAATGGTCCTATCTCAACAGACAATCATAAAACGGTTGCAAAACTGTTGAGTCTGCTGAACGCAGCCAATCATCGGCACGATATGTACAGGCACGATAGAAATACTAAGAACAGTATTTTTCGACCAATAACAGCAAAGTTTCATGAGAAAGCACACTGGTGTAAGTGCGTGAGAAGTGTACAACATTCAAATTCGAGAACGGATCGGAGAGCAACTCGCAATTATCATTTATTTTTAACTAACTACGCCGAGTTCATCGTGCATTGTATTCCAATTTCGATTTTGCTACGTCGAGCTCATCGTGCATTGTGTTCCCATTATAGACTTTGTTTGCTTAATAGCACTGACCATCCGGCTGAGGAGATTATTTGTGAAGAAGAAGAAGCCTTAATACAATGGATGAAACGTATATACATACATATTTATTAAATAATATGTGTAATAAATATAGAGAAATTAACGAGATTGGACTTATATAGAAGTTTTTTTTAAGTCAAGCAAATAGTCCTATATTATTCTTTCTATATATTGATATATGCATTCAAAATTAATTTAGAATTATATATCATAGTGCAAAAAAGAGTCGTTCTACGAGGACAACCGCACTGCAGTATGAAGAATTAGTAAGATACATGGAAACTCATTCGGAATTTGCAGCAAATAAATTTTTGACGAAAGAAGGAAGAATTAGGCATAATCAACTGTGGAATGACTTGCAAGAAACGCTTAATGCATTAAGTAATGCGCCTGGCAAGACCACAAAGCAGTGGCAAACTGTAAGTATTTACACAAACGTACATACACATAATTATATATTATATGTATATACATATAATTCTATTTGACATGGAAAATTCTAGATTCACACATCTCTAGTATATAATAATGTATTAATGCACAATATTATTGCACACATATTTCATATATTCAGGTTTGGCGTGATCTAAAAAGTAATACCTGACCTTGGTAGTCCCCTATTTAAAATCCGTTATTTCCACCTTTTTTCCCCCAAGAAAATCTACAACTTTCATATAAAACTTTTTCTTGTATCTCTCTTAGTTTCTGAGATATTCGCGTGGGGCGATTAAAATGCCCCACCCTGTATGTATATATCACATTTGAAAACATTATTAAAAATATAAAAATTTCAGTTACGTCTAACAAGGGAACCTCTCGAGGTGATAAATTCTGATTTTAATGAAATGTGTGAACTTGTAGTTTACATAAAGAGATGAATTTAGAAAATATCAGTTGCTGCCCAAAAACGGTTTGAAGGGGTGAAATCACCCTTTACGTGTACAGCGGTTTTCAGCTTTTTCCGTTATATCTTGAAAACTACTTGAGATATAAAAAAATGTTTTATACAAAAGTTTTACAACAAAATTAGCTGTATTCAATAGCGTTTTTAGAAAATCGCTTCACACATGAGGCTTGATTTCACCCTTCGAACTCTATGTTGGCAGCAATTTTCAGAACTTTAAAAAAATTATTATTTTTAAAAATATTTATGATAGATGTAATTTTATTATAAAGCTACTTGTAGAAAAGAATATGATAAAGATAAAGAAAATGATAAAATGCTATCATTTCCACACCACCATCATGAGGTAGATAGCATGGTGCGCTTTTTTTATAGTGGTTTCCCCAGTAGGCCTATTCCACTCTAATTTTTTTATGCACGAATTATTCCAAATGCCGTCATTGACTACTTTGGAACGTTTAAAAGATGTGTTTAAAAAGATATATTATTATTATTACACATAATAATATATTCGCGCGAGTAATATTTAAAAAATGCTTATCAAAATATTGTAAACTTACAACATCCTTCTCCTCATTTTCATAATTTAATAATGCACAGTTAAATAATTTAACTCAAGAAGATGTTTTAATTTGACTCTAATTTATTTATTTTCAGCTTTTAACATTTATGCAGGATGTTTTCAAATACGGAACTGTCAAAACACACAATTTTGGCAATGACAGATACTCGTGAAGTAAACGCAGCGAGAGAACCAATCAGCATCGCGGAAAAGCGACAACAATAAACTTCGATACATTCGAGTATCGATTTAACATCTCCTTTCTAAAAAAAAGGAGATGTACGCGGAATGTATTTCGGAAAATACGCAATAGAAAAATATTTTATTGTAGTGTTTTGGAAAGCTCTCGAGATAAGCTACGAGAATATGTAATGAAAAATGGTATGTTCCATTTAAGAAATTGAAGGTGACCTTCATGTAATTTTCAAATGATTATCCAAGGTCAAACCAATGGTACCATCTTGTGACCCCCTCGAAACCATACAATTTTTGTCTGAAACATTTTTCTCTAAAATCAAAAATAAGAAAGTTATTTGGGATGGACAATTAAAATGGAACACCCTGTATATAAAATCAAATTTTTACCCAATAATTAGAGATAATTACAAAATTACTTCTTAATGCTCAAAAGGGATAATACCGACATTCTTCATACACTCAAAACTTGAAGATTTAAGTAAATTTAAAATGTATCTTTTTTTGAAGTTTAAAACGTATTCTTTTACGATTAACTTGAAATGGATATAAGGAGAATTCAAGCAATAACATCTACTTTAATATCTAGCAGAGGATCCTAATAGATCCTAAAACACATTTTTCACAATTGTTACTCCGATATGCAAAAAACAACAGTCTGTACTATATAGTATTAAGGATTTTGTGAGATTACTTATATAATATATAATAATTTTTTAAGTAGAGTTAATGTTGTAACTACTTGATCTTTTTTAATAACTTGACTGGTATTTATACATATTATCTTTTATTTTTACGTAATAATTTTTGAAAAAGAATTATTTGCATCAACGTTACTTTGATTTTAAACGAAGATTAAACTCTATCTGTGTCTCTTTTTCGGTTTTAAAACGAGACCGATAGAGTTTTAAATCTCGCTTAAAGTCAAAGTAACGTTGATGCAACCGGGCCTAAAACAATTATTACTTAAATCAGAATAGGAAGACCTTCAATGAAATTATTTTTAAAGAAAAGTTCAAGTTATTATTACTTTCCTTTGCGAGGTTGGATTAAGAAGACTTTCGAAATAGGAATACAAATATTCTCAATCTAGAATGGTTGTAAATATATGTTGCTTATTATATATTTTTGGTAACATTTTTCTGTAAAAATAATATGGAAATATCTTTAGCACCTCTAGGCCATTGTTTTTTTATAACTTGCGCATCATCAATTTCAATCCAAGATGTTCCTTCTCTACACATACTTGTATAATGACTCTCGTCGATACACAAACAGTAATGAATTATAGCACTCATAACTTTATATGTCTGCCCATCTATTATTATTTTTGCTGTCGGGACTGCACGTAAACTAAATTTGTGTGGTATCTTTACCAACTCACCATTCTCTGAAATAAAAGATATTAAGTGAATAATAAGTATCTCTTTTACCGAAATTAATTCACTTTTAAATAATATATCATTTCTTCCACAACGTTCACATAATTTATCAAACGACTGACACCAATGTGATGAAAATGTAGTTTTTAATAAATCATCCAGATTATAACTTTTCTTCTTCAAATTGTTAATAGAAATTGAAAGTAAAATATTAGTATTAGTAATAACTTTCGTATTACCACACGAATTGCATCGAGAAGTATAAGTAACTTGATGTTCTACCATATTTTTTATATAATCATATTTTGTACAAAGAGCTGTAAGAAATTCTAAGGCATCTCGTTTAATAGCAACCGAAAAGTATTCCCCTAAAGATTGCCGTATTTCATAGGTATTTAAATTATTCATTCCATGTTCACATCGATGTGCAAACAAATTTAAAACATCAGGTTTATCATAAAATTTAATAACAGCTTTCTGGAAACATCTAAATTCAATAAACATTGCAATACTGCATTCGCATAGCATAAAACCTTGTCTGTATTTTGAAAATCACGTATAGTCCAAGCATATTTTTTTGAAGCAATTGTTTTCTTTACACCTATTGATTCATCTCATTATTATTCTGTTTATAAAAGTATTAAAGTACGATTATCAAAAAATTAATAATTCACGGTATTATTTGATATCTCTACCTTAATACTTTCATATGCAGAATAATTAGAGGAATCATATTGTATAAAAAAATTATATAATTCCATTTAAAGAGTGAAGGTGACCTTTATATCTTTTTGACGCCTCCATCTAGACAAAAAGCATGACCGAAATATCAAAAATAAACAAGATATTTCAGATGCTCGAGTTAGGTGGGACACTAGGACGGTTCACAAAATTCAAAATATTTTTTTTCAGTAAAAAGATATGCAGAGGTCGCGCAAGTCGAATTTGTGATGAAAATTAATGTTTCTCAGTTGTATATTTTTTTCTAATTATTTGTAAACATTTTAAAATAATAATAATTTCCTGAGACATAATTTTACATTGTTGAAACTTGTAAAAAGTTTAAATTCGTTTTAGAAAAAAATATACAACTGAGAAACATTAATTTTCATCACAAATTCGACTTGCGCGACCTCTGCATATTTTTTAAAAAATCTTAAAAAAATTCAGTGACTATTTTTAATCATAAGGAACAAGTGATTTCAAGAGGGCGGCTGATAAAAAATATTTTGAATTTTGTGAACCGCCCTAGTGGGACACTCTGTATATTATGTTCTTTTTTCAAAGATAATTTTAAATTTAACTTATGTTAACGCAATGTTTAATTGATTTTGTGTTTATGTGTACTAAAGTACCTACTATGATTTATTTTAAAAGTGGGTAGTCTTAAATGAATGCATAAATTTTATTTACTAATGTGTTTACTATATGTGACTACATAATAACTATGTATAAGAGATTTATTTGCTATTAATTTATATTTTCGTTTCAGTGTACATTTTATGATAAAAC